CTTTATTAAAAATAATGTACAATTTACATAGAAAATTATAGTATGCAGTATTAAGACACTATTGTTCGTTTTATAGTGTAACGTAACATGGGCCGATTGTGATGAAAACCTTCATAAAGTAACCACAAATTTCGATTCTAGTATTTAATGACCAATTTCATTTAGTGCTTAAATTAATGAACTACCTTAATTGTTTTTTTTCAAAGCTATATAATGTTAGAGTCGATACTCTACTTGACAATAGATGGCGTTAAAAATAAAAGTGTAAAATAATGTCATACGAAATTAATTGTGATGGAAGAACTATGTATTCTATAATACATGACCAAATCTGGCAGCACAGTTAGTATTAATATAAAACTAAATATTAAAATACTATGTAGACGCATTTGAAGTATTAAACGGCTTTTTTTTATTTTTTACTAGCTTAATAACCTAGTAGGACAATTAATAATAAATGCAAATAGCAGTTTTAAGATAGACTTTGAAAAACACAACTGCGAAAAGTGCATTCAATTTGCTGCTTTACTGCTTTGTGCGATGCCGGAACAAACATACAAACATACAGATAAAATTTCGAAAAAATATATTTGAATCTATTAGTCTCATTAAGAATTTTCATACTTTTCTTTTCTTAAATATCTCCCATGTACATAGTGTAGGTACAATTTTATTACACTAATAGTATTTCCAATGAGTGACGGTAAAAACCTTTCGATGATGAATGACATGAGCAATGACAACTCAGCCGAGCAACACTTGACTAAGTCCGGGGATCCCATGTTCGAAACCCATCCTAAACCTTTAAAAATTCACAAAAAAATTCAAATTCACGTTTAATAGAAACGTATTCAAAATTTAAAAATAATTGTCACTCACTTCGTGCTTCAATGGGCACGTAAAGCCGTCGGCGTTGTTTGCAACAGTTCGTCAGGGCCTTTATAAAGAAGGCGGCCTAGAAACACTTGACATCAAAGGACACCACTGTTAAATCAATACTAATGGCCTTAGTCACATGGAATTTTATAGATAGACACGTCTTATCTGCATATTATATATCTATATATATGTTTCTAATCACTCTAATAAATTTTACAGTTGTAAATATATTTTTTAACTGTGTAGTCTCGGCATAAAATGGGCCATACCTTCCTTTTCCGTGAGTGTCGTAAGAGGCTATTAAGGGAACTTAATGCTCGACGTATGGGGAACGACGTCTTTATTAAAACATCACCAAAGCCTAACTATGATTACCAATCCATCTGCAAAGGGAGGTTTTGACAGTAGTTGCTACAACTACTGTCAAAACCTCCCTTATGTGGAAGACTTATTTTCAGCAGTAGAGAGTTAATGGGTAGTTTTTTTTAATGGGTGTAATTTTATGGTAACTCCACCCGCGCTATCATTATACACTGGCGGGGCACCAGTAAATGATGATAGGTGAGGATGAAGTAGGCCAGTTAGCCCATCGTGACGAATTCAACAAGAATTGTTCACGATGGTTTCCAGGGGGAACCACTTGGTAGTCGACCTAATAGGGCATATTGCTAGCAATGGGGCTGTTAAACTCCATTACTAACAATCCCTTTCGCCCCGCAGTGGACAGTTAACGGCCTACATGATAATGATAAGGATGAAATGTATATTTTACCATTAGTATAATAATATATTTTATTACTTAGTATGCAGGATCAGTGTGTTGACGCAGTTCAACACTCATCAGATAGTTTTAATCTTTTACATGTGAGATAACATGTAAGTAAACAGTAGGTGTTTAATTATTAACTTATTTGCAAGTAGTCTGACTACCGAATACATTTTACAAGTGTATATGCATACAACATTATGTCTCTTATATAGTTGGATTAATTATACAGCGTCAATTAATTTCAAACTAAACAAATGATAATAAAAAAAAATTATATATTAGAAATAAAAGATAAAACATCGGCGCATGCTCTTGTGTTGCTAGTGAAAAAAAAATACTGTTTTTTTTTTATTTAAGAATTTCCTCTTGTCGATGTAACTAATTCATGCATTCATTACTGTTTACACAGTTGAAATGTATTGAGAGTTTATTGTACATCCATGCTTGCTAAATGTAATAAATATGCATGTATTCGACTTCAGAGAGCATAGTTTATGAAATTAGTTTATTTGAAGTTCAAGTTGTTTACTTGCTATTATTTATATGGTGGAGAGGAATTGTTATTTGGGACAGTAATCCCTATTGTTAGTAATATACCCTATCAGGTCGATATCACACGTTCCCCTCTCCCCATTTAATTCTTATAGAGTTCAACGATAGGCCAACTGATCTGCTTATATATATATATATATATATATATATATATATATATATATATATATATATATATATATATATATATATATATATATATATGACCATTCTGATTTTAACGTTTGAGGATGTATTCCCTGCCGATGGCGAGCGGTGCGATGGTGAAAGGTGGTTTTTTTTTTGATGGGTGAAAATGGAATGGTAACTCCGCCTGCGCTAACGGGATACACTGGCAAAGCACCAGTGAAGGGTGATAGATGAGTATGAAAACAGGCCAGTTAGCCCATCATGATGATTCATCAGGAATTAACCATGATAGTTTCCAGAGGGAACCGCGAGAAGGTCGGCTTGGTTGGGTATATTACTAGCAATGGGATTCTTAGTCTCCATTACTAACAATCCCTTTCCCCCCGGTTAAAGGTGGTTGTAGGCATCATATCTAAAAGTTCTTCAGAACACCATTCTTTATACAGGCGGTAGTAATTTTAATGTATACGAATAAGATTGAAGTATTAAAATTGTATAACAATACGCTGTTATTATTATTATAAATAAATAAATAAAAAGCTAGTAACACTACGTTTCAATTATCGAATTATACAGGAGGTTTTAATTAAATTAGTTTTTCCAAAAAAAAAAAAACATTCAATCTCGCTAGTGGAATAGACTAATTCATTACCATACATACACATACACACCACTAATACAAGACGCAACGGTAAGCTGTATTGATAATACAATGATAACTGATGTTAAGTCATTAGTTTTAGTCCGTTGACCTGCACTGACCTTGTTCGCTTGAGCTCACATCCCGCCTGTTCACACTTGACTGCTTTCACCATTTATCATGGATACTTAATAAAATATTAATTGTTAAATAAAAAAAAATGTATTTATTTCATTATTAACTCGTTATTGCACCATTTTTTTATACTACTTAGAATAGCAAATAAGCTGACGGCCTACCTGATGGAAAGTAGTAACCGTCGCCTATAAACATGAGCAGTACCATGGACATAACAGAGTATACTGTTTCGCCCATGATACCCCCCATGCGTTGCCATTCCTGAGGACTCAGGTGTTATTCCTCTGTACCCTGTAAATTTACGCCATATCCCACCCTTCAAACCGAAACACAGCCATGCAAATTCAATACTGTCCACTGTTGAACATGGGTCTCCCCCATAAGACCAAGTAGATACAGATTCGCTTCATTTTGATTTGTATTTATTTATATTTTAATATAAAAAAAAACTGGTTTAATCTATATACTTATAGCTATACTAGTTTTTTCCGCGACATCGTCCGCGTCAGTAATAATTAGTAGTCAAATTTTATGCAGATCGTCTGAGCCGTTAATACGCCTAGAGAACACAAACAAACTCACTTTCACATTTGTGACATTAGTAAAATTTTCTTCCTGTTGACCTTTGTGCAAATGTTGTAAGTGTTATGGGAAATATCAAACCTAATTATTATACAATTTCGCTAAAGTCCATAAAAACCGGATATGTAAATATGATAGAAATATTTCTATCCACATGGTACAGCTGGTTACGTTGAAAATGGACACCTGTTCAATTTCTGGTTTCCATTCGAACGAAATGTGATTTGATACGATTATAAAATTAAATAAATAAAATTGTCACGTGTGAAAAGTAATTTTAATCGTTAATTATAGAAGGTTTGAAGGTTAACCAGTCGATAGGATACTAATTTATTAAAGTAATATTGTTTATAAATCGCTTTTAAATAAAACAAAAAGTAATATTTCCGATTAAAATCGAAAAAAATAAATCGATGTCATCGATTGATAAAAGAGGTAGTCCAATTGGGATATTCTTTTTTTAAATCTATTTATATATATATATATATGTAGCACTGTTAAGCTAACCGTATGCTTGTTTTCCTGAATCCAGACCGTCAATCAATACGAGATTGTCACTTTGGTGACGATAAGAGACTTTATAGAAAAGTCATTTCCTTGAATTAGTTACATCTGTCCTACTCGTGTTTTTGCCGCTGAGGAATTGTGCTTCTATGACTGTTTTAGTCTAAACAATGACAGATTAAAGTAAAATTATAAGTTATGAAGGCGTAAAATCCTAGTCCTAAGAAATATATATACAATAAAATAATACTCGTAACTTGGGAGTGGTATATCCGTGTAGTACCGGCATGGAATGGGCCATCTCTTCTTTTCTCGCGAGTGTCGTAAGAAGCGACTAAGGGAAGTTAATGTTCGAGAGATAAACAGCTCTTAAAATATCATTAAAGTCTAACTGCGTTTGCCAACCCGCCTGTCAAGCAAAGCAACTACTGGTAAATAAAACCCTCCAAGGGAGATGCCTATGTACAGCAGTGGACAGTTAACGGCTGATATAATGATGATGATTAGTGGCGTCACAGTGATACTGTGATGTCTTCTTATGTGACAATTACTATTTTCCATTAGGTGAGCCGTCTGCTTGTCTACGTTACCATGTTACATAAATAAAACAACTGCCTGTTTTTGTAACACGTAAAGGAGCTAATATTGGGGTACTACAATTTTAGAATTATAATTTTATAAAATTTAGAATTTAAACTTTGTATAGTTGAGAACCCAATACCGGTATCTGGGAATAAACTGCTATTTCATCTAGAATCCTGAGTTTCTTTAAAATTATTTACTAATATTTTGACATTTTATTCGCAGATGTATCGGTATCCACACCAAAACCTAAAAAGGTATTGGACACGATCATGGAGCCAAAATTCATCCCGCCAGAAGAAAAAATCGGACTACATTGGAAGAGGTCTGCTATTAACACGATACGATCCAAACTGCAGGTGACCATCAATGAGAATAAAGCCAAGAACGGCATATTATTTATTGGAGACGGTATGTCAGTAGCTACCATTATGGCTGCAAGGACATACGGTGGACAGCTCGCCCAAGGAATTGGAGAGGAGAACATTTTGGAATTCGAGAAGTTCCCTATCACAGGATTGGCAAGGGTAAGCAAATTTTCAATCTTCACCATTTCCAAGTATTTGAAATTAAAATCTCTAGTATCCTTTAAAGTGTTCTGTTAGTAAAGCAAAATATTTTTCTCAATGAAAAATTGAAGATAGAACTTGAGTCTGCCTCCACAGTTGAAGACTAAAATCATTTGTTGTCGTTTAATCCATTTTTCTTTAAAAAAAATGTCTGTCTTCACTAACGGAAGGGTGCTAATGATTTTTAGATGAGCAGAGGTATAACAAATCCATATCCAGGGATACAAAAAGCCTGGGAAAATAAGGGATGTATGATGATACATTTTGTTTGCGAAGGACAAAATTATTTGCTTATCCTCGTACTTGCATGGACTCTTATACACTATTTAATACAATTCAATGTGCTCCTTTGACGAATATGTACGTAGAGGATTAGCATCAATTGCGTTAGATTTTATCACAATTTCCATTACCACCTTCTTGTTACCTAATTATTTATTTAAAGTCGGCGTAATACGTTTCCTTCCTACGTCTTCATCTCTCTTCACAATTACTTCTGCATTCACTCCCATTCTGACCACATCATTGTTCACACAGTCTATCCATGTCTTTTTAGGTCTTTCTGTAGTTTTAAGTATGGAGTAGTTACAATATATTATTCATTATTTATTAGCCATCCATATTCATATACTTTTCTGAATAATTGGACAATTTTCATGCAAATCAGAAATCGGCTGATGACTTCAGTGGACACAATGGTCAAACCGCACTTTTACGCGATAGCAGCATAGCAAAATGGGCGTTAGAACAATAATTTAAACATTCTTTATCCAATAAGAAGAGCCCGCAAGAAACTCAACAGTTACTATTTTAAATCTCTGTTAACATTATGTGTATTTATTTAAATGTATTATGTTCCTAATTATATGGTCGTTAAAGGTCCATGTATGATTCACACCATGCACATGTCATTCAAGTAATCATATATATATTATAATTTATTAATAAAATTAATGCCAGTTTCCTTTGCCTCCGACCACAGAATCTTTTATCGTGAAGGATGTACCTTAATTGTGAGAAAAAAAAACATCGACACGTTACGTTACTAGAAAGTAGATTTAGATCTGCTTTAAAAATAAAACTAAAATATTGCATCTCTTAAATTAAATCTTAATGTATTGCAATAAGAAACAACTGTTTTGCACGCTCATCAACGTAATCGATGATCCGCAACAGATAAAATAGCGAGGCAAAAGGCGTAAAAAAAATGGATTCACGTAACTAGCTACCGACTGTTTGTGCCGAAAACAAGTTCGTCTCACTCCGAACAATAAAATGAGTTTGTATGAAATCTATGCAACCCGTTCATTTAATTGAAAAATTTTCACTATATATAGCAAAGTCACACCTATTAATATTGATATTTGAATTATTTTAGATGGAGGCGTAATGTAAATATTTGTATGAATATTCAATTATTTTATGGTGTTTCTAGATGGTTGCATAGAATTATTTTTTAGCATCGTAAATATAAGGTCAGTACCGAATCTTAAATAACGCAGTGATTACTTTGTGGTCAAAAGTTTGTGGTTGGACAAGAATAAAAAAGAAACATTATTTTACGAGCACTCATTGTATAAAATGTACTTGGAAACATTTCCTGATCTCGGTGAAGGTGTCCACGGATTTCCTCGATTATAATTAATTGTGTCCAATTTCGACGTGAATACTAATGTAAATGTTAGTTGAGTAGGTATGTTTGTTATGTACAACTAGTTATTACCCGCGACTTCGTTCACGCGCTTGAAATTGGGCCTACAACTATACCGAATTCCCAAATAATATCCCAATTGGACTATCTCTTTTATGAATAGATTACAACGATTTTTTTGTCGATTTTGATCGAAAATATTACAACACTTTTGTTTTAATTAAAAATTATTTATAAACAATATTACTTTAATAAATTAGTAGTCTATCGACTAGTTAACTTTCAAACCTGAATTTGGAAGGAAAGGGTTTGTTAGTGAACCCTATCAGGTCGACTTTAAGGCGATTCCCCCTGGAAAACATCATGGTTAATTCTAGTGGAATTTGCTATGATATTTGTTATGATATATGAATTGAGTTGCTTTCATCATCACCTATCATCCCTCACTGGTGTCTCGTCAGCATATACCAATAGCGCAGATGTGGCTATCATTCCGTTATCATCCATAAAAAAATCTGCCGTCTGTCGTCGCTCGAATTAATTTGGTTTTCTTAAAAAACCAATACGCAAAGTTTTTTCGGCAATGCATATAAGCGCAAATATAAGCGCATCTCTAATTATTATTTTTTTTGCAATTTTCAGGACATATTTTGAAAAAAAAATATTTGAAAAATTGACTAAAAAGATGAAAAATTTTACTTAAAAATATTAATCTCATTTTCTTCTTTTATACACACTCGTGTTAAGCCGAGGCAGCCAGCTAGTTTTACTTTATAATAATAAAATTGTAACAAAACGATATCTATACATGGGACATATTTAAAAAATAATAATACAAAGTCTTAATAAAAACAATGAATGCCAAAAACTTTTTATTTTTAGAAATTTTGTCTCTCTGTCTGTCTGTATTGTTCCGGCATCATGCAAAAACCACTATAATAAATTGGGCGAGGTTTCCATAATTGTATATCTGAAGGTCGAACTTAAAATCTGAAGGCCTACCATGAAATATTTTCCGAAATTTCGGGGACGAACGAAACAGAAACTTGATGTTAAAATTACATAATATATGCCGTTTAAAATATTTAAAAATGTTAAAATATCGTTCCTCTGGACTATTACAATAGTATTTATAATGAACGAAATGTTAAGCTCCATTTACTGGGTCGATTTCGGTACACGAAATTGAGCCCGAAAATTCGGAATTTCATTTCATGGTAGACCACCTGGTGTGTTTTATCTTGATCTAGAAGTTGGAAATTTTATTGGTTTTCCTAGTTCTGAAATCTATACGAACGAAGTAACGGGCTAGTATTGTAGTGTAGTAGCTAGTATTATAATATTTTTTGTACTTAAACCACATATTGTGTAATTCCATTAGAAATAAAAAGTTCACCATTTAAACGTCGCTTTCATAATCGCTGAACTCAATCAATTACAATTAAAGTTAAATAAAACATAAAAAATGGTCATGTGTGAGTGGAACTTACACGTCAAGGGTCCCGTATATATAGATATAATATAAAATGATTACAACGCCAATGAGATGCCTAATATTTATTATTATTGAATGTTATGAAATTATATGCAATTATTTTTAATAATATATAATTTTGTTAAAAACCGGTTATTTTTGTTTTGGAGATATTTATATATAGCTAAATTTGTTTTTGGAGATATTTTGATAATTTCTCAAAAAAGGTGCTAGTTCAAAACATTGTCTTATTTTTCCTGTATTATATAAGTTTATTAACTTATTTTTTTTTAAACTTATTTTAGATTATTCTTTTCACAAAAATCGAAGATAAGGAGGGTGATTTTTTCTCTCATTTTCGATCACAGGTTATAAGTGTTTTAAAATATACATATGGATACTGAACCCTAATATTTATACGTTATATTTAGTTCATATCTGATTTTAATCGAGAAATATTACATAAGATCGGTTCAGTTCAAAATAAAACTGTCAGTTTGGTAACACAGATGTTCAGTGAACTCAATTAGTGATCGCATATCGTATAGACGTCTTAATACTTGCTTGATTATTTTTTATGCAACTTAGAATGGCAAACAAGCTGACGGCCCACCTGATGGAAAGTGGTAACCGTCGCCTATAGACATGAGCAGTACTGTGAACATAACAGAATATACTGTTTCGCCCATGATACCCTCCATGCGTTGCCATTTCTGAGGACTCAGGTGTTATTCCTCTATACCCTATAAATTCACTGCCATATCTCACCCTTCAAACTGAAACACAGCCATGCAAACAACTGCTTCACGGTAGAAACACGAATAGGACAGAGGTGCCCAAGCAAACGTCTTTTGTATAAAGTCTCTCTCTCTCTCTCTGGTGATTTATATCTATTTATTTCAATTAATATTATAAATGTAAAAGCGAGTTTGTTTGTTGCCTCTTGGTGCTTTAACAGCTTAACCAATCACTATCAAATTTGATATACATATATGGGATGAAGAATAGAGGCATGTTTTAATCCCGGTCAGTAAAACATGTCGCGGTTACGCAGACGAAGTTGCGGGTAAAAGCTATTATTTATATAAGGAGAATCTAAGTGTTTAATTAATGCATAGACAGATTTTTGTAGTAGTTATAGGATACTTGGGTAATAGAAGGATTTCGATGAGAGGATATTCAAAGAGGATAGGACAAATAGAAATTCTATAAACTAATAAGTAAGGGCATAAAACCTCTCTTGGAAACCAGCGCGATTTAATAATAATAATAATAAAATCATTTATTCAGTTATAAAACAACAATATTAATTACAACTTTATAACAACGTAATAATTATGTGGTAGCAGCTGAAATGGTTCACACCCAGCATAAGCTGCAGCGTGATGCTGCAGCGCTGATTTTCAGTGGGGCCACCACTCGATTTAGTTAATTTTAAACTATTATATACATTTACCGGCAAACGTTTTTTCATCGCGTTAAGTCCCGATTGTGTATTTAAAATATGTATTTAAAACATCGTGATTTAATTTTGAGAAATTCGTCATTATGGACCTTTTGGACCTTTATTCTGCTCTATCAACCTTCACTGGCACTCTGCCAGCGTAAATCAATAACACATATGAGCTTGCCTCTCCATTTTCCTCCTTATTGTAACTGTATGTTTCACAGAAAAAGCAAAAACTACTCAGTTTAGATTAGAAATATTTTCACAAACGTTCCTTATTGAGGGAGGAAAGGGATTGTTAGTATCGAAGATGTAACAACCCTATAGCTAGCAATATACCCTGCTAAGTCGATTTCCACGCGGTTCCTCCTGAACGTTCTTGATCA